CATTATTGTTAACTAAAAAAGCTAAGGTTGGAGCTGGGATGTAGCTCAGTAGTAGAGCACTTGCCCACTATGCCCATGGTCCTATGTTCCTATGTTGGATACACACACACACACACACACACACACACACACACAAAGAAAAAAAGAAAAGCTAAGGTTGTATGTAAGCAAAAAATATAGAATTGCATAAGAATTTTACAAAAATTATTTTTAGCTTGGAGAAAACAAGTATCAAGGAGGACCCAAGCTGCCTTTACAGAATCAGGAGGAAAAATGACCCAATTTGCATTTGATGCTCTGCAGGACACAACTGGGGTCAGAGAACACATGTTATGGAGAGGGGGAGAGCTGCCATTTCAAACATGGACAGAACTGCCCAGGAGAGCAGTGAGCTGCCTGAACTGGAGATGCTCCTTCAGAAGCAGGGGGACTGGAGTTGGTGGCAAAGCAGCAGAGAAGACTCAGAGGGTCTTCTAGGCCCTTCTAGAACTAAGACTTGCAGAGATCTTCTGAAGAAAATGATTAACATACGATTTCATATATTTAGGCCTGGTTTTTATTCTCCTCAAATGAAGTCTAAATATTATATAATTGAATAACTGGCATGTTTCTTCATTCACAGTGTGTACAATGTATAGCAATTCAATTGTAACATGGGACAATGAATGAATACTTGTATCTGTCATTGAGAAATGTCAGGGGCAGGGTATGGACAATGGATACTGGTAGAAATTCTGACAGTATTACCACCAATTTGTCCATAATGGTTGTGTGATAATGGAGGATTGTTTTGTTTCTTTATTAGTTTTGTATTTTCTGAATATTATTATAACAAATATGTACTTTTTGTGAAAAAACATGATATGGATTTTGTATAATTATAGTGCTGTAAATAAATGAAAGCAAATAAAATTTAATGGTCATTCTTTAATTTTGCTGATGAGATGTTAAAATTATTTAGAAAGATAAATTTTATTGCACCAAACAAAAACAAGTTGTGCCAAAGCAATGAGAAATAAGTTAATTATATAAGAAGATTATTTTAGAATTTGGGGTAAATTTCTTTGGAGGACAATTTCCTTTCAATCTAATATATTCACAGCCACTGGTTTTTAAATTTTTAAAAATAGATATGAAATTCATTCACTCATTTACTCATAGGGAATTTGGTGAATTTTTTTTTATGAATAAATACCTGTCCTCAAGTATTGGTTGTAGGATTCAAGAATGAACAATGGTATGTTCCTTGTATTCAAAGTGCTTAAAACTTACCTGGAAAGAGATCATATATTCATAAGTCATCCAGACAATAAAGACCTAAAAATTATAACAAAGAACAGGGCATTATAGTAAGTAAATATCAGTAAGGCAAAGGTTATCAAAATTCTATTCATCCTTTAAGGTTCAAAAGGCCCCTTTCCTGAAGATGTCTCTTGCTGGGCAGTAATTTCTGGAAGTAAATTACCCTATTTACTAGGTAAGGACTCTGGTTAGCATCTACCACAAGGCAGCCCTCATTCAGACTCCAAGTGTCCTTTCTGTAACAGAACTTTGGTTTCATTCATTTTTGGTTCCTGAGTAGATTTCAAAGTCAAATTCATTTTGGGAATTCCAGACCATGCTCTTGTCCTAAAGGAATGAGGAAGGAGAGGTGAGGGCTAATCACTATCCTGATTAATTTCTGGTGATGGGTGTGGAAAGAAGGGCAGCCACCCCTGGTCCTGTCTCTCCCAATTTGGGTGTGAACAGCACTTCCTTTTCCCATCCTTATAGCTGAGGGGAGAATTGTCAGTAATCGTATTCACAATTAAAGTATCGAAAGCAGCAAGGCATGATGGGAGAAACTGCCAAGCTGTGAGACCAACCCTAGTTCCAAGTCACTCTGTTGGCAACTAGCTTCCCTCTGAGCCTCAGTTTCCCCATGTTAAGTGGAAGGATTGAATTGCTGAATATCAAAATCTATAGTTCCCTATAAATTAGAAAACACAAGGTTCCTGTGGTATTATATTGGATTTATTCCCCAGTGATGAATCATCAATAAATCTCTGACCTTGCAAATACAAATTCCTTCCCCATGATGGAAATTAAAGCACTTAATTCTCTTATGGGTAGGTTGTACACTCTGAATGCTAGTGTACAGTACTGTCTGGGAAATTGAGGCAAAGGAAATGGCTCCAAAATTCCTCCTGGGATCTAAATGAAAAACAAGACAGGCTATGACATCAGCTGCTATTTCCTCTGTGATCAGACAAATAATACAAATACCAATATTAAATTGTGTGTGAATACTTTTTTAATTTTGCTTTTCATGGCAAATCACAGTAAATTCTTTGCTCTTAGCCTTCTGTTCAAGGTTATGCAGAAAGAACAGAAACTGAGCGCAGAATTACACCTTCTTAGAGTTACAGGTGACTTGAATTTTGTGTGTGTGTGTGTGTGTGTGTGATGCTATAGGTCAAATCCAAGTCCTTGCACATGCTAAGCAGGTGCTCTACCACTGAACTGCAGCCCCAGCCTAAGAGTTATAGATAACTTTAAAGATTAGACCCAAAGCTCTCATCGTCCCAATGAGGAGTCTAAGATGAAAACCACTGTCATCCAGTGTTGATTTCCTGAAGAATGTTTTCTCACCTAAACCCACAGTAGTTTGACAATACCACCACCAATATGCCAAATAAGTAAATAAGCACTTTTAAACAACACCCCCCAAAAAAGTCATCTAACCTCTTCTAATGAGTTTCCTCCATTTCAACTAGAGGAGCCATGCAAAGGGAAGACTGAGAATCCAAAAGCAATAAAACATAGCTGCTCTGTATTTCTATCCACTATCTTCCTGTCACTCAAGGCAGGAAGCACCAGACCTTTCTAAGGAATTGTTACAAGAAAGTCATGAGTTCGAACGCCAGGACTGCCAAAAAAAAAAAAAAAAAGAAAAGAAAAAAGAAAGAAAAAAAGGAAGAAGAATGTTGCTTTTTAACAAGCCAGCCATTTGCCACATCACTTACCAGATAAGCAGGTGCCTCTTTCATTTGGCATAGGATAAATAAAATTCAAATGTTAAAAACCTACTCTGTTTTGCCTCAAAAGCCATGATTTTTGACTAATTTCTCCCTTCTTTGGTTCTCTGTAAAGCCAGGTAAATTACAAAAATCTCAGTAAAGAAATAAATATGGTGGTTCCATATGTGAATTGTTTATCTAAACTAGGTCAGCATCAGGGGGTCTAAGTTATTAGCATCATATTACAAGAACCTATTCCTTCCAACCTGTTTTGCCTCACTATTCAGAGGGCTGAAATCTTCCTTTCTGTTCCATTCTTCCTACCAAGGAAAATGCACATCTGCCCACAAGTGATGATATTTTGATATTTACACCCTCCAAGCCATTATATCCTAAATGACACAATTAGAATTCAAAATACATAGACTGTTAGAACTGGAAGGGTCTCTCAAGAGCATCTGATAATATGCCCTCCATTTACAACTAAAGAAGTGAATTTGCAGGGTCAAAAGACTTGTCCCTTGTCATGCAGATTGAGCAGCATTGTCACATCTAGGGTCTGTCTGCACTCGTCCTATTTAGGTTCTTTCCATGGCCCCTGCTGGTTTCCAGCATCAGTGTAGATTTTCTAAGCACACACAAAGGGTTAGCTGGAAGCTATTCCCTGGGAGTCAGTCCCTCCCACTCCAGAGCTGCCTCTGCTATTCTGTTGCATGAATTATAGATACAAGAGGTTACCAAAGCTTGAGTAAGCAGATGAGTTCTTTTTCTCACCCAGTGTCTTACACTCTGTCAATCAGGAAAATGGGTGGCAATGCTTACAGTTGTTGGTTGCTTTCATAGCAAATTATTGTTCTTATTTACCCAAAATTCATTGCTGCCAGAAACATTCTGGTATGGAATTATATTAGCAACTCAGTCATCTAGACTGAGAATTATATATGGCTATTTGGTATTCAGAACTTGGAGCAGCAACCTATTAACAATATTTTGATGATACTGCAATAATCAGATCACATGATTCTGTGACCCGATTGCCTCATAGGATGTCCATCTGTGCAGATACTAACTGTTAAAGACTGTCAGTGGAGCAGGAGGGTGCAAGGAAAAGAGAAATCAACTTGACCTTATAATTATCTGTATTAGAACCCTACTCCTGCATATCACCAACAGAATGATTGCAGACAGTGCACTTGGCTTCTGAGCCTTCCTCTCCTCACTCTGTAAGATGATGATCAGATTTGAACTTGACTTACACATGCTGTAATGCTTATATTAAAATTTGTAGGGATTAATTAACTTCTATAATGGGAATACAGAAATAATATGGAAAATGTTAAAAAAAAAAAAAAAGCCAAAAACTCCAGGTCTAACTAGGTATAAAGCCTTGTCCTGCCATCTACTTCTGGTTGCGTGATCTTGGGCAGGTTTCACCACACTAGGGATGAGGCTCAGCAGTACAACACTTTCCTAGAATGTTCCAGGCCCTGGGTTCAAACCCCGGCACCAAAAAATAAATAAGTAAATGAAACAGTATAGCAACCACTAGCTTAAGTCGTTTTCAAAATTTGGTAACACTTCATCTATCTTCTGCAACACTTTTCCTCCCTGCCTGAGGTATTTTAAAGCACATTTGGGCAACGTGTTTTAAAGATCTCTGTGCTTCAATTTTATTAAGCAGGAAATAAAGATTATAACATGTAATTCACAGAGGACTGTACTGAGCACTCAATAAACGCTACTATTATTTTTGATGGTACTTATGTGCACAGCCCCCTATGTAAAACAACTCTGCAGCGTGCTCCTCCCAGATCAAGACAGAGGGTGTAAAGGAAAATGCCTGGAGGCATCAGAGGCTCCCTGGCCAAGATTGCGAGCGCCCCCTTCAGGCCGCCCTTCTTCAGAGCCACTCTTGTCTGGATGAGGATGTCCCTCGTAGGCTTCCGTCACCGCGCGCGGAAATGAAGGGGAGGGAACGGGAAGTGGGGAACAGTAGCCGCTGAGAAGGAAAGGACGGAGCGCAGCGGCTTGGAAGCTGGTGAGGCAGGGCCGCAATGTTCCGGATCGAGGGTCTCGCGCCGAAGCTGGACCCGGAGGAGATGAAGCGGAAGATGCGCGAGGATGTGATCTCCTCCATTCGGAACTTCCTCATCTACGTGGCCCTGCTGCGAGTCAGTGAGTGTCCTCCGGGCTGTGACCGTGAGGCTACCTCGCCGCCACCTGTCCACCTGTAGCTGCACAGATCATCGCGGGGCCTTGAGCAGCTGAGCGGAGCGGGACGTGCGCGTGGAGGGCGCGGCAGCATGCGTGCTGGCGGATCTGCCCGCCAGGGTCGCAAGGTTCCCAAGTGCACGTGGTGGCCCTGTGCGCATGGCGTGGCTGGTCACCCTGGCCAGCCCAGCCTTAAGAGCGTTTGGGTTTAAGGAGCTTCAAGGGTTATTCCCAGAGCAGTACCCTCATTTTTCAGACCTATAAATAGTCTCAATGTAGGGAGATGTCTGACCCAAGGTCATTCATCAACTGAGTGAATGAACTTGACCTAGAATCCCTAGCTCTTTCCACCAGGCTCCCTTCCTTCCGTGCGGACCCTTAAAATCCTTAAGGATTTGCTTTCTTTCTGTTTACATATATAGGTTGCGAAGTAAATAATTGCTTCTTTTTTAAGGAATGGGACGAAAACAATATGAATCTGTGGGATTAATGAGAATACCTGAGATATTTGACTTTACAGTTGGCAGAAAGTTACTTTCATTACTTGGTCTTGACAGTGACCCCTTGAAAGGAATCACGGCTTAAGATTCTTTGTGTTGTTTTTGCAAATGAGAGCTCGATTTTAAAGGGGACATAGCAGGGTTACAGACTGAGTGTAAGAGCTGGAAGCAGCTTTATACATCAGTTCTGTAATTTTGCTGTATGTCTCAGAAGTGACTTGCCCGTCTTACTCAGTACAGTACCCTCTGGGGATGATTCAAATAACTGAAGGCCATACCAAGGTCGTGACTGTAGAAGACCTGAGGTTTCCCTCACTCTGTATTGCTCTGCTTCCCCAGGAGAGGGAGCCTTGGAGGACAGAAACATCCCAATCCTTCTGCTCATTCAACAGCTTCTTAACTACTCTGTTTTACTTATCTCCTACACTTAACTTTTTTTTTGGTGGTGGTGCAGAGTTTGAGCTCAGGGGCTCCTGATCGCTAGGCAGGCACTCTAACACTTGAACTTTTCCCTTTAGTTTATTTCTCAGATAGAGTCTCCAGGATTTTTACCCCTGGGACCTCCTACATCCATCTCCTGGGTAGTTGGGACCACAAGTGCATGACCCTATTCCAAGTTTGGTTTTGCCACAGGGTCTTGCTACCTTTTTCTTTTTTTGTTGTTGGAAGATTAGCAAAGATTTATTTAGCAAAGCAGGGAGGAATAGAAAATGAGAAAGGAGTACCCCTGACATGGCAGGGGGTGGGAGCAGAGAGGGCCCCCTAGCTTTTTGGGGGGCCAGAACTGGCCCTAAGCCACAATCCTCCCACATATCTGGGATTATAGACATGACCCACTATGCCTGGGGGTCGTGCATCTGATAGGAATTGGTTTTTTTTTTTATTGAGATAATTAAAGTGTGCAGTTCAGTGGCTTTAGCATAGTCAGAGGGGTGCAGTTGTCACCACAGCTTTACAACATTTTCTCCCTAAAGAAACACCATGCCCATTAGTTGCCATCTCATTTGCCCTTTTCTCCAATCCTTGGCAACCACTAGTCTTTTGCCTAGGATTTGCCTATTCTGCATATCTCATTTAAATGGAATGATACAATACATGGCTTCCCCCGCCCCATCTTTGGCAATACTGAGGTTTGAACTCAGGCCTCACGCTTGTTAGGCAAGTGCTCTACCACTCCGCCAGCCCTGTTTTGTGTTGGGTATTTTCAAGATAGGGTCTCCCATGAACTGTTTGCCTAGGTGCTGGCTTCGAACCACAGCCCTCCTATTCTTTGTCTCCAGAGTGGCTAGGATTACAGGTATGAGCCACCACCTCTGGCCAATATATGGCCTTTTGTGTCTGGCTTATTTCACTCAGTGTGATGTTTTCAAGGTTCATCCATGTTGTAGTATATGTCGGAACATTGCTTTTTACATTTGACTAAGGATCCCTTGTATGAATATGCTACATTTTGTTTATCCATTTGTCATTTGATGTTTTTTCTTCCCCTGATTAAGAATTAATAGAAAAGTGGATTGGGGTGTGGCTCAAGTGGTATAGAGCCTGCCTAGCAAGCGAGGCCTGCCCTAAGTTCAAACCCTAGTACCCTCAAAAAAATAATAATAATAACCAAAAAATTAGTAGAAAGGATTGGATGGTACTGTTAACTTTGTCAGTTTCTTTTCAGATCTCAGTCAGCTTAATATTAATGAATGTTTTTCTATTATTTGTATAGAGAAAGAAGGTCATTCTGGCAGCTTTTGTTGGCCACAGCCCTTTTACATGGGACAGTAATGTCACTTCTTTAGATCTACATGACCACAGTTTTCTAGACATTTCTGTGTATACAGTTCTTTGAGACCCTCAAATGTGATCTGGCGGGCATAAACGATAGATAGCTAATGAGAGAACTGGTGTTGCAGATCTTCTGCTTCCCTACTTTACCCCAGCCTTCTGCCTCTTTGAAAGGAGTTTTTAAAGATGAAAAATAACCAATTTGTTTCCTTTAGACTTTTGTTCCTTTTTTTTTTTTCCTGAGGTATACCTTGAGCCACTCTACCAGCCCTTTTTTGTGAAGGGGTTGAAATAGGGTCTTGAGGACTATTTGCCCCGACTGACTTTGAACCACAATCCTCCTGATCTCTGTCTCCTGAGTAGCTAGGATTATAGGCATGTTTGTTTGTTTTGGGTATGACTGGGAACTTACAGCTTCATGCTTGCAAAGCAGGCGTTCTACCACTTGAGCCACAATTCCAGTCCATTTTTCTCTGGTTATTTTGGAGATGGGGGTCTCACAAACTGTTTGCCCATACTGGCCTTAAACTATGATCCTCCTGGTCACAGCTTCCCAAGTAGCTATTATTATAGATGTGAGCCACCAGCATCTGACTGCTTTTGTTCCTTTTACACTTAAAATAAATCCCCAGGCCAGGAGTGGTGGTACCTGTAATCCCAGCTGCTTGGAAGGCAGAGACAGGAGGATTACAGTTCTAGACCAGCCTGGACAGAAAGTTGGCAAAATCCTATCTTAAAAACAAGTGGAGCATGGTGGTACCCCTGTAATCCCAACTAGTCAGGAGGTAGAGATAGGAGGATCTCAGTTTGAGGCCAGCCCTAGGCAAGAGGAAGACTCTTCTGAAAAAGGTATCCCACTCTCCATTTTGTATCTTTGTCCTTTGCTCTGAGCCATTATCTCCTGTAGTCACTTTGCAGCCATCTTGGAATCCAGAAAGGACAGGAGTCAAAGACTACCTGCCAGACAGCAGTAAGTCTTATTGTAACAAGTCCCCACCTGGCCAATCCTGAGAAAATGAGCTTGCCAGACCACCTACCACCACCTCTGACCAGTGGAACATACCTGTGACTGGGACTATTCAGTAATTATAGCTGCCTCTCCCCTTGCCCCCAATTCATTATCCTGTTGGGGTGAGTGGCCAGACCTGATCTATGAAACCCAGGATATGGGGCCTGGGGCCTAAAACATCCTATAACAGAATTGGTAGATCACTTGCCTAGTAAGTGCAAGGCTCTGAGTTCAATCCCCAATACCACAAATAAATGAAATAAATCCCCAGGGCTGGAGATGTACTTCGGTGGTAAAACGCTTGCCTGGCGTGCACAAGGCCCCAGGTCCAGTCCCTAGCACTACAAAATAAATAAATCCCCAAAGTAAAGAGTTGTCATTTGAAAGCAGAGTTACTCTTTATGGCCCTAGGTGGGGGTAGGGGGAGACACACACTACACACACTATTTGGAGGGAAGCTTGTAAATAGGGTGATGATAAATTTTGTCAGTGTCATAATTGAATGGCACTAGAAAGACTTGCTTTGAATGTCAATGAGTCCATTTTGCTGTACTGTAGAGGCACAGGTTTAACCACCATTTGGAGTTGCTTTCAAAATTAATGAACCTGTAAGATTTATTCCCTAGTCTTAAAATTCTGTAATGTAGCCTGGGGACTAATAGAACTGAAAGGTAATTTGAGGTTTGTTTTTCTTTCAGCTCCGTTTATCTTAAAGAAACTGGACAGCATATGAAGACTGGGTATCACATGTGAATGCATGATGATATGAAGAACCTGGCTACAGTTTCTCCTCGTGTCTGCAAATGAATAGACCCAGAAAGGTGTAAGAGACTCTTTGATTGAATGGACATAAAAATTCTACTTGTTAAGAACAAGTTGGGCTGTGGTAACAGACCTTTGTAGTTAAAATATACAACTATTTGGGAAGTATGAAAAGACATCTTATGGTCCTAGTGTGCCCTCATGCCTGTGATATTCAGCCTCCATGACTGTTGGTATAATTGTAAATAATGTCAAAGTCCACTTTCTAGCAAGTGTTAATTACAAGGGAGTAATTTCTGAAATGGCACTGTCTTGTCAGTCATTTCTGTTTGTGTTTTTTGCTTCTGTCCAGAGTGTATTTGTGAAGAGTTGGCTTACACTTAGTTATATTTTATGGAAGTCAGCAGATGACCACAGTAACATTTAAGCACAGGACCAGTCTATATTTTTTAATAAACATACCAATTTAAAAAATTGGGGTTTTTATTTTTCTTTTCTCACATTTTGCTGAAAATCAACAATCACTGGTGAAACTGTTATAATATTGTGATTATTATAGGCTACATTAAGTTGAGTTCTTCTTGTTATGAACTTGAGAATTTGTTAATCCTAGTAAGGTGGCATTCTGTTTAATTGCTAAGAGTTGTCCTGAAAGGCAGCATTACTATTAAAGCTGAGAACATGTGACACCATCAAAGGAAAAACTGTTTCTAAATCAAGTAGTACTCTAGGTTTGTTGGCAGAAGGGGGTAATCCCTCTCCCCTGAGGCAGCTACAGTCACCTTGTTTTAGCTGATTGTGTCTCTTAATGACATGATGGTGGTGTTATTTCATTTTATTTCTGTTTTGGACATTGCCCACTGGCTTCTCAATGTCTTATCAGAATTTAGGTTTCTTTTCGTTCTTTATGTCTGTCACTCACACATTTCTTGTTAATCTCTTCCTTCCAGTGTAGTGTGATTTTGAATACACCAACATCATTAGGACTCTAAATACTGTTTGGCTTTTTCTTTTTCTACATATCTTCATGGTTTTTCTATGACCTTTCCAACAAGTTAACTAAACCTCTTGTTATTTACCTAAATTGCATACATTTTCAGTTTCATCTTTCTGAAGAAGTCTTTTCTGGAGCCTTCTGACTTGGTCCAGTCTGTACTGAGCCTTTTCTGCCTGCCTGTTGTATGGCAGAAAGTGGGAACTCCCTTCACCTTCCTAGTGGGAATTCCTTTTCCTTGTCCATATTGGATCTTTTGCTGTTATCCTATCTCTTGTTGGTATAGTCCCTTGTTTTGATGGATCCCTTTCTCCACTCCAGTGCTGGCAGAGGTGACATAGGAGGCAAATATTTTTAAGAACTTACTGGTCTGAAAATGTTGGGGGTTTTGTTGTTGGTTTTTTTGGTTTTTTTTTTTTAATTCAAAACATTTGATTGATAGTTTGCTGAATGTAGAGTTTTAAGTTGGAAATCTTTACCCTTCATGATTTTAAGGCATTGCACCATTGCCTCTAGCTTTCAGTGTTGCTGGTGAGAAATCTGAGACCATTCTTGATCTTTTAATGGGACCTGATTTTTTTTTTCTCTCTGGGAAACAAAGATCTTTTGTCCATAGTTTTCTTTCATTACACAATGGCATACTTTTGGGTGTTTATCTCAATTCACTGTGCTGGGCACTTGGTAAACCTATTTAAGCTTGAAACTTACCTCCTTTAGTTCTCAGAAATTTATTGATGATTTCTTCTATTTTCCCTCCTCTGTCTTTGTAGAATGATACAACTTTTGATGTTTTCTCTTTCCTCCATAGTCTGTTTAATCTGCATTTTCTCTTGTTGATTTTTCTTTCATGTTAGATGCTTGAGTATCTGGTTATCCTTGGTAGTCTCATCATATTTAAAAATAAGGGACCTGAATGGATAGAGGTTATTGATGTTGGGCTTTGCTCAGGGGCAATCTACCGGGTCTTTTAATTGGGAAATTTTTGACTCTGAAAGTTTCAGATGGCTAGGCTTAGGGGACTTTTTGTGATCATTTATTGTACCCTGTCTGTAGGTGCTTTTCTTGGAGAAAAATGTTATGGCTGCCCTGGATTCCAGTTTACGTTCAGACTAGAATAAAATGTGATGATTCAATTCTTGTGGCTAGCTTTTTAAAACTCAGGCCATCTCCACTGGGAATGTTCGACACTTGGAATACACAGTTCTGAAATGCGTGTATATATAGTTTGGATATATGATGTGAAACACATAGCAAATTGAAGTTTTGTAAACTCAAAGTGGGGACAAGTAGAGAGAGAATGTTAGTTCCTGACAGTCAAGTTCTGGAATATCAGTTATTAGAAATTTTGGTACTAAATTAGGTTAATGTTCTTACTGCTGGCAGTGCAATGTGTTTTGAAAACTGTTTCATCATTACACTTTGTAGTTCTTCTTTGAAACAAGTTAGCATTACAATTAGTGTGTTCAGTAGTTTATGGCAAACTTGAGCCTACATTTGGAATGGACAAGTACAGAAATTTGAACTTGTTTTTCTCTTTCCCCTTTTTTGCTTGAACTAAACATATCTCTATTTGTAAGGTCCAGGCACTAGACAGTGTTATAAACATTATAGCAGAGAGATCACCTGGATATTTTACTCTTTTGCTACTTCATGGTCACTTCACTATCAGTAACATTTAACACACTACTCACCATTGCATCTACCTCCTGGGCCTTTCTTAACCCTACACTTTTTTACTTTTCTTCTTACAACTCAGCTGCTTTTGCTGATTTATATACATCTCCATCTTCTGCAAGTTGTAGTGCCCCATGTGTCAGTCCTCAGACCTCTTATCTACAGTGCAGATTCCACACTAAATGATCTTGTCTGGTTTCTCAGTGTTAAGGGCTGCATACTGCCATATCTATAAATCTAGTCTAGACTCCTCCCCTGAATTCCAAACTTAGCCAAAAAGCAAACTACCTATCTTCCCCCACCCTGCATGAAACCTGCGCATGTCTCAGTCTCTGGAAAATTCTGTCTTCTCAATTGCTTAGGCCATAAGGTTGATCCTCCTTGATTCTATACTCACCCCATACCAGTCCCTCTGTTGTCCCTACTTCTGGATTATAATAAGAATCTGACTTCTCATCAAATTCACTTCTACCAGCCGGGTCCAATCCACCATTGCTTCTCTTCTGATTATTCCAACAGCCTCCTGATTAGTTTGCTTGCCTCCCACTTTTGTGTTCTCAGCACAACAATCAGAATGGTTCTCCTCAATAGAACATGTCACTCAAAACCTTCCAGTGGCTTCCTATTTTACTTGAACTAAAAACCAGAGTCCTGTTTGCCCCTGAGGTTCTAAACAATGTCCTCACTGCATTCCGGCCACCATAGCCTGCTTGCTTCCTCAGTTTAAACCTGCCGTGGCCTCAGGGCCTTCCAAAGCATGTTTCCTCAACATGGAATGCTCTTCCCTTAGGTTTTCAAGTGCCTTACTTTCTTTCTTCAGGTCTTCGCCTAAATGGCATTTTTGTCAATGAGGCTTTACCCAAGTCCTTTATAGGCTATAGGATATTTCAATTTATAAGATTCAGCTTTCTGTACACTTACGTGCATTTTTCTAAATTTATAGTTTACTCTAATAATTTTTTTGAGACAGGATTTCACTGTGTAGCCCAGGCTGATTTTTTTTTTTTGGTAGGGAGGGGTTTGAATTCAGGACCTACACCTTGAGCCACTTCACCAACCCTTTTTTTTTTTTTTGAAAGATAGGGTCTCATTTCCCCAGGCTGACTTTGAACCATGATCCTCCTGAGTAGCCAGGATTATAGGCGTGAGCCACTGGTGCCCGACTGAGGCTGACTTTGAACTCAGGATCTTCCTGCCTCTGCCTCCTGAGTGCTGGGATTACAGATCTGGACTACTATGCCTGACATTCTTTTTTTTTTTTTTTTTTTAATATGACTTCCCTAGTTCTCGATCTTCCCGCTTTCCCTGCTTTATGTTTCTTTCTCTCACTTATTATCATTGAATATATTTCTCCGTAATTATTTTGTCAATTGTCTCCCCTCATTATATATATGCTTGATGACAGCAGGGGTTTCCAGAGCTCTGAATAATAAGAAACAATTAAAAGACAATCTTCACTAAACATAAAAGCAAAGTCTTAAAATTCATTAAATTGAAAAGAATTATTCTTAATAAAGTATTATCCTCGTGAAACAATGCTGCTAAAGAAGTTGGAGGGAAAGATGTTTACTGCAGTACCTACCTTTTCCTCTTTAACCTAACCCTCACTTTTGAGTTTGCTACTGCTTAAAAGTTGTTTAGCACTAAAAAAGAGCAATTCTAGCTTTTGCTTTATCTTTCCCTGACTTGAAGTGTACTGAGAGGTACAATGCTGTCTCCTGAGGGCAAAGCCAACTCTTGGTTGGTGCTGCTTCACTGCAACTGCCATTCACCATGCATTGGACCTCTGGGGTAGGGAGAGGGGTGCCTGAGTGGTCTCCCATAATAAAAGAGAAGGATGTACTTACATACTCCTGCCTTGACAGAAAGCCTGTGATGCTTTTTTTCTTCTCCTCTCTCTTTCAACCTGTTTTCTTCTTTAAGCACATCAGTCTTAGACCACTCTTGTCTCACCTTTCCTAAGTTTACAGAGGAAGGACTGGAGGGAACCCAGGAACTTTGTACTAGACAATTTGGACCCAGAATTATTTCTTTTATCTGTTTCTTCCTAGTTCCAGGTGTAAATAACATGGTAAAATAGCATATTTTAAATACTTTCTTAGTGAAAAAGGACTCTGAGGTAAATGTATCTTTGTGTTACACAGGTAACTGGTTTTCTGTTAAGAGTAAATAGGTGCCAGATGTCATACACCTAAGAATCAATGAATGAATTCTAGGGAGGGTTTTCACACTTGGTAGTCACCAGTGGTAGGAAGTGTTTAAGTGTAATGGTAGAAAGAATATAGGAATTGAGTGTTATATAAGGCAGTTTCAGGCCTCATGTGCAGACATGCTTTCCAAAACAACTTGCACAACAAATCACCTGGGAATCTTTTTAACAAAAGACCTATTGAATCAGAATCACTACAGAAATCTAGTTTTCATAAGCATTCAGGGGATTTAATTGGCTCAAAATCTGCTCTAGGTAACTAGTAAATTAGTTTAAAGTCTCTTCCAATTCTGTAATTTCTGTGTTTTAGGAATAAGAAGTAAAACTCAGAATGAAAGCAGTTTTAAGTTTCAATAGTAAAACCACAGCATTAAGGTCCCCGGGTCTGACTCTGGTAAGAGTAGCCATCTTGCCAGAGGGGAGTTTGTAGTTGGAGTACTTAAAGGGGTGTGGAAACTATGCTGCTGGAGAAATGGTTGGAGGGATTCGAGGTGTCCAACCTGGAGAAGACCTATGTTGGGCTTCTGAGAGATGAACAGGGTTGTCCTATCAAAGTAATTGTTCCAGAAGGTGGACTAGGATAAATGTTTGAAAAGCCCAGAAGGAAGATTCCTTCCTGCACTGACTCACACCCAGTGTGACCAAGGTGGACTATGTTGCTGAAGCGGCCCTTCGCTAGAAACGAATATGGATACCCTGTAGCAGGGATTGCCAGTATGGGAAAAACGATTGTCATTATCTTTTCCCTATTTCTGAAACCCACTTGAATACAAGCAGGACTAAATAAATGACAGTTGAGTTGAAAGGGGAAAAATACTGATTAGTGGATGCAACCTATTGTTCGGGCCTCAGAAATATAACCCTGGTGGGATGGGAGGAGAACTGGAGACAAAACGCAGGACAAGATGCAGAGAAGAATACAGTCATAGTCCCTGTCCTTAAGGGGCTTACAATGTTTAGGAGAGTCAGTCAGACATTACAACATTTCATTGCTAATTTAGTTCATTATATAAACTGTTACGAATCAAGGGTGAGTACTGAGAACATAGAAAAGTCTGGACCCTTTTGTTTGGGAAGAAAGCAAGAAACAGAATCCTATGACATCTGCTAGCTAGTTTTATATACTACAGTTCCAAATTCCACTGACAAGAATTCCCCCCCAACACACACACCTGCCTGTTTTTTTGAAAGGCTACAATAAATTTGACATACAACAGTCTTTCCCCTATTCTATGTTGTGGACCCCAGCGTAGACCATGAACAGCTGTTAGTAGTAATAGGTGCTATTTCCATAGCTGCCTACTTTAGTACAAGTTCACAAAAGCATAGAAGTTATATGTACAAAACTTAGATTGTTACTGAGACATTAAAACATTACGAAATCACTTATGCACTTTGTCTTTTAAACAGAATCTGGTGATATATTTTCATAATTATGAAGCATGTTCTTAAAGTGTGCTGCTTTCCTTCAGAAATAAAACCACTGGTGCTGGGATGTAGCTCAGTGGTAGAGCACTTGCCTAGCGTGCTCCAGGCCCTGAGTTCTATCCCCAGCATCACAAAAAGTAAAATTTATAAAAGCTGGGTTTGGTCCAACAATCATTCTACTGAGGCTAAAGATGACATTAAGTGTCTGTTTTCATCTTTTTCTCAGTCGCATTAGTAACAGTGTTTTCATTTTCTATTTACATCTTCAGAGGCCCCCCCCAAAATGTTTTTAAATTGCATAAGCAGATGTACTGACAATGACAGTGCTGCATTTGAAATTGAGTGTTCCACCAGTGGCTGCCTCACCGTGCAGTCACATGGAATATTAATTAATCAGCTTACATATAAAGTAACACAGCGATATAGGAACATCAACATGTAATGTAAACAAGGTGGGTCATTTGGGTTACAGCTCTAGCTTTTACTACATGACCGTTTGAATCAGACTTTTTAGTTGCAAACACCAAAATTCAACTTGGACAGTTTTAAGGGAAAAGGTGTTTTATTAAAAGGTTAATAGGAAGTTTAGCATCACCAGGAAGCCTAGAAAGCAACTGAGAGGCTAGGCAACTATAACATAACCTTTTGTTACTTGATCACTCCCCAGAACAGGTGCCATGAGGACACCCTCTCTGTTTTTTAGGTGCCACCACTTACCTTGCCAAAGCCACAGGCTCAGAACTTTGGACCCTGCCACTGTCATGGCAGTCAGTGAGAACATGGCTTTAAGAACTTAACTTGCTGCACTTGCCATGGTCACCAAAGAGAACTGCTCCAGAGACTTCATTCTATCTGTGGCTCTCAAGCTAGTGTGGAAGTATTTAATATGCAGTATTGGTATCACAGGAAAAATAGAGTAACTGGAATTTCCACCTGTAGTGAAAGGCATGCTCTGTTTCTCAACAGACTCATAAATGGGGAATATCCTTGGCAGCCGAAAAGGATGACAGGTACCACTGTGTCAGCCTGGACAAATCACTCTGCTGGAACCTAGTTTTTCTATAAAGCAAAGTTCACATGGCTAAGAAGATTGTATATGTTCACCTACTTATTTGACAATAAATGCCACCTACGCTTCACAGTGCAAAGATAAGCAAGTCTACTCAGATGGAAAAAAATCATCAAGCAGCAAGTGGTAGGATAGAGGCATGCGCTGGACAAATAAGGGCAAAAAAGAAGGGGGGAATCAACTATTTGCAAATGATCTTATAAATACTAATATAAAAAATATAATTTTCTATGTAGCATGCTGTCATAGAGCAGGTGTTGTGCTCCTTTGAAAGTCACTGTTTTATGGAAGTACCAAAACAATGTTGGCTGGCACAAATCCAGGATTTTAATTGCTTATTGACAGTCATATCCAGACTGCCAATTTCATACAGTGGGGTACTTTTCAAAGGATTAAATCTATGATAGCTTTGGCAGTCATCAATAATAAACTAAATCAAGTTTATTGTACTGTGAGTTCACCTCTGTCTGATCTGACCTGACTTAAGCATGGTCTTACTACTGTATCTGGAGACTTTGTGTACAGGTTTGTGTCTTAAAATAAATCGTCTTTAAGATAAGGTACAAGTTTTTTTGGTTTTGCTTTTCCATTTGTAAAGCACAGCTTGGGCTGGAGGTGTAGCTCAATAATAGCACCCCTGCTTAGCATGTGCAAGGCCCTAGGTTTGATCTGCAGCAATAGAAAGAAAAAGAAAAAGGAAAAAAAAAATCAGCTACATGGTTACTTAGGCCTCACCCAGTCATACCAAATTCATAATATGGTAATAATAGATGAAATACATTTTAACAGAATACATTATGTAGACCTAGGAACTGACAGGTTGGTGGAACCACAAGGGTTAGCTACTTCGTACCTCATTCTGCTAAATTCTTTTCTCAGCATTCTTGGTGAGGTATTTTGTTTTGTTTTGGCGGTACTGGGTTTGAGCTCAAGGCCTTGAGCTTGTTAGGCAGGCACTCTATCATTTGAACCACTCTGCTGGCCCAGGATCTCACTTTTTGTCCAGGCAGGTGATCCTTCTATTTTACCCAGCTTTTTTTTTCCCGTTGAAATTGGAATCTCATAAATTTTTCCCCGAGGCTGGCCTGGAACCGGGGATCCTTCCCATCTCAGCTTCCCAAGTAGCTAGGATAACAGGCATAAGCCACAGGCGCTCCTCTCAGTTAAGTTTGTGTAGCTGACATTCTCTTCTAAAATCCAGCTGCTTTCTAAGACACTGCACTTGATGATACACTGGCACCTCAAATTTAACAAGTTCAAAATTGAGTTCTTGATCTCCCCTCACCTCCAAATATGTTCTTACAACATTTCCATTTCATGGGCTAGTCGGTAGGTTAAACTAGAAGACTGGGAATTCCCCTAGTTTTCCAGATGAAGCCAAATGTGATTCTACTTCAAAAATTACCTCAAATCCATCTCCAATTCCACTACCATAACTCCAGTCCAAGTCTTCTTATTAATCACTCTCTGCTTACAACCTTAACTGTTGTTTTTCCTCAGCGGGAGTAGCTGACATTATTTTAAAAAGGTATCAAATAGCCTACAATCCTTCCTTGGCTTTTACATAAAGTTGTAAAATATTTATCATGGCCTACCAAGTTCTGCATGATCAGGCCCCTAACTAGCTGTCTGAGCTCAGACTCTTCTCCCTTGAAATAAAAGAACTTCAGATAAATGACATTTTCTGTTTCCCCAACGAGCCATCCCTGATTTTTCATTTATTTATTTATTTATTTATTTATTTATTATTTTTCATTTATTTATTTATTTATCGGTACTGGAGTTTGAACTCAGGGCCTACTACACCTTGAGCCATTTCACCAGCCCTTTTTGTGAAGGGTTTTCCAAGACAGGGTCTCGTGAACTATTTGCCGAGGTTGGCTTGAACTGAGATCCTCCTAATCTCTGTCTCCTGGTTACCTAGGATTACAGACGAGCCACATGGCTCCTGTCTACCCCTGATTTTAAACTGGGGCTTCTCGCATGCACTTACCATAATTTTAAATTCGTACTGCTTAAGTCAACTTAAAACGACTGTCTTTTCCACCAGAGAATTAATTTCATGAGCACAAGAACCATAACAGTTTTATTCTCTTCTGTGCATAATAACAGCAGGAGTAGCGGCAGTAGCAGCAACTGACACTTAACACAACATTTACAGCATGATCCCACGTGCTTTACAGACATTTCCACACATGCGCCCAGTATATGGCCCCTCGCCAGGGGTCAGAGTGATCCATCCACAAAGCCAGCCCCTAGATGCACACCCGCGCGGAGCTCACCACCTCCTGAAACTGCCCATTACACCGTAGGTAAGCTCGGAAGAACCTTCTTTGCGTGGACCTCCTTCGCAGGCCTCCCTGCAGTTCCCGCCCACTGGTTCTATTTCTGCCACTTCTGGATCATCGTTCCACAAGCGCGCTTTGGCCGCACCCGAGGCCCCGTCCGCTCGCATCGGGTCTCCCTTGCGCTCCCCTCCCGGCCCCTCCCGCTCCCGGCATCCCCAGCCTCGCGCGTCACGTGACGGCGGCGGCCCGCGGGAGCCGCTGGCAGCTGTGCCCGGGCGGGGCTCGCGGCGCCGGTCCGCCTGCCCCTCTGGCCGCGCGCCGCAGTCCTCGGGCTGCGCTGCGGCTTCGGCGGCGGGGGCGGCTACCAGGGCACCGCGGCCGCGGCCCTAAGGGTTCCCTGCGAGGTAAGGGGCGCCGGTTCCGCCCGCGGGCCCGGGATGCCCGGGTGCGGGTAGGGGGCGGCCGGGGTGGGCTCGGCGCCTCGAAGTAGCCTACCGGGACCCGGGGCGCTTCTTCAGGCGACCGCCTGCGGTGGCGTCGCACGGTCCTGGCAGAGGCTGAGCGTGTGGTCGCGCTCGGGGAACGGGGCCTGGTGTGACCGTGAGGGGCTTCTTTGGCCGCCCGCGGGCCCGCGTCTCGCTGCTACCCGCGCTCTGCCGCGTTGGTGCCTTAGTTTCCCCGCCGGGCCCGGAGCATCAAATCCCGCCGTTGCCTCCAACCAGAGGGCTTTGCGAGTGTATCAGACATGTGCAGGAGGAAGAACCCGACCTTTGGGATGGGAAGAGCCTTCACCGAGAATGCAGGAACAAGTCTGGGGCCCCCCTACTCCCACTGGGGCTTCTGTATTTTGTGCAAATCGTGAGGCTCACAGACACTTAAGATGGAGAAACCTCTGCCCTGCCTCCCTCTTAGACTGCAGTGAAGAACAGACGGGAAAGCCATTTGAAGAGCCAGAACTCCCGAGTCGGTCAGCCCTGGGTTCAAGTTGTAGTTCTACCACTTACTAGCCCCGTGACCTTGAGCCACATCGATTCCAAGTCTGTTAAAAGTACATAATAATAGTACTTGGCTCACAGGTTGCTGTGAGGATTAAGTGTAAAGGCTTACTTAGCATGGTGCCAGGCATAGAGGGGGCCATAGATAGTGCTGTTAATGTAAGTATTAAAATAATTAGCTAAAGAAGCGTTTGTAGTAGATTAATCACACTTCAGTTACTATGTATGTGATTCTAAAACCCCTTTTCGGGTTCTGGGCCCCAGCCCCCTTTGCCTTATGTTTTATATTGGCATGTGTATCTGTTGTTCCTACCCAATGAGTCAGGCAGGATAGGAACATTAATTTACTTGAGTAGATGGGGTATCAGATTCCCTCTGAGGGAAAGAAAACTGCCAGGCATGTGCTACCACCAAAAAAAGCACATTGCAGTGATTGACTGTCAGAGCTGGAAGATGCCTAGGAAACCTTGTAATCCAGCTGTCTCCTGCAAATAGAGAAACTGGACCCAGAACCAGGACAGGACTCAGATTTTCGCTCAGGACCCAACAGAGTGTTGGCATTGGGTAGTGGAGAGGGTGCGCATTTTACCGGGAATCATTCTTTCCCTACATTCTAACTTAATTCTTCATTTATTCAATAATTATCTATGGAATACCTACTATGTGTTTGTACACCCACTAAGAGCTGGTGGTGATAGACCTGTGAACAACACAATGATCCATGGAACTGTTTCCATAGCAAGCTATGTTCATTTGAGGTTACATAAAATCATTTTATATATATGTATCTATTCCTCTGCTGGTTCTCAGTATGTTTTATAATAACAGTAAGACCAGCTCCCAGTGATCTTGCTTCATAGCAGCTGGCTCCTAAGGGACAGAAGCACACAAGAGAGACCTGAGTTGTTTTATAATCCCTCGCAGTTCCCAAGCCCTTGTGCAAGCCTGGTGAGATTTTAGAGATGAAAAAAATGTTGCTAGAAAATGCTGCTTTAAAAAAAAACAGAAAGAAAGAAAGAATGCTGCTTTGTCTGAGCCTTTAGGGAAAGGATTTTCTTCTGACCTAGAACACTTGGGATTTCTTTGTCTTTCTGGATTCAGGCCTCTAGTTTTTAGATCTCTGAAAAAAGCAGCCCTCAGCATAGCGCCTTCATCTTGGTTTCCATGGTTATCAGGGAGAATTGTATTTTCATGGTAGCACAGTCAAGCAATGTGAGGGCAGGTAGTCACCAGTTCACGGATTCTGCTTTCAGGTGATGGTCTATTCTGTTTTTTCTTTTCTGGTTGTAGTGCAAAATACTCTTCTTCTTTTCCTTTCCCTCCTTCCTTCTTTCATTCTTTCCTTCAGTATGCATGCATTGGTTGCAAGGCCAAGAGGAGTGGGAATAAATAGAACAGATCGAAACATTTATAGACTCTGGCCTTAAGGACCTCAGAATCTTTGGAAGCATGAAAATGAGGGCATTGCCACACACAAGGGGCAGATCAGTGTTCCTCTAATGAAGGTGTAGATGGGGAGCCAGTAAGAGCACTCTCAAAGGAAGGAAGGATGAGGTTCTGACCTACCAAGAAGATATACATCACTTGCTTTTCAAAGGATATGTAGAAAAAACAAGTTCCTTTGACAGGCCTCAGTCACAGAGGAATAATAGATGATACAAAAGCATTTTGTCTTTGGGTTTGCTTTATTGAGTGAACCTCTCCTCTTGAGTCACCTAACAGGAGCTTTGAAATGCCTGCTAATTTCACTCGTTACCCTTAGTGATTTATTAGTTTCCCACTCATCTGAAATACTGGATTTTGGATATGTAAGAGAGAGGCACTTGATCAAGATTTTGTCTAATTCAGTTTAGATGGTTAACCTGTATGTCAAAGTGTTGTGTTCGGGAAGGACTGTGTAGTGGGACGGTTGCGTGTAGTTTCTCACCACTGGACTGGTGAATAGCTCAGTAGCCAAACTTTTGCCCATGTACTCAGGGCACCAGACCTGGTCCCCAGCACCACTCAGGAGAACTAGCTGGAGTCTTGTGTTTCCTTGTGTATGGGTTGATGTTATGTGGGGGCTGAGAGCTTAGCTGGTACAGGGTCAGTTATCCTCTTCTATGTTGCTTCCACCTTAGAAACTTCTCTTCTTTGTGAACTATAAGCCACTGCTAGCTGCACACACTTTTTAGTCTAGGAGCCTGGCGTGTTCCCACTTGTCCCCCCCCTCGTAGGATAGTCCTCTTCACTATCCTTTGTGCCCCATGGGGCAACACACATGGAACCCTTAGGGTGTGCCTAATGGTGAAGGAAACTAATAGCTCACTGAACTGTGCACAGGTGGCAGAGAACCAAGAGACTCTGTTGCTCTACCTGCAGGTCTCAGTTCTTTCAGACTCTCTCTAGCAGTTCACCATCTTATGGAAGGGATAAGGCTGGGGATCTCACATGAGCCCCAAGTCTGGTGCTAAAAGCCCCTACTGGCAGCAAGCTCCTGAAGTCAGCAGATATCTCATGAATGCTGAGCACTCTGCCAGTCACAGGCTTAGTGTTGTTTCTCAGTGATCTTCAGGGACTGGGACTTGCTGTAGCCAGAGAGGGTGGGCCCACCCACCTTCAGGCCCTACACTGCCTGAGGTCATGGTACTGCTTTAATTTCTCAACTCATCCATCAAAGCCCCTCAACTCCCTGCAGCACTGTGGCCAGGAATCCTAAAACTCCCTGAGCTGCCATTATTCCTTGATTTTTCAAGTCCCTTGGCTAGGTCAGTTTCAAAGCTTGTCTGATTGAAGGCAGCTTGTGGAGAGCTCCTGTAACCTGAGCTCTCTACCTGTGGAAGCTAGGTGCTTTATTCCGAAATGATCCTCAGGCAGTGAAACTGCTCTCATCAGGAGGGCCGGAACACTGAGCCTTTCCCTGCTTCCCAAGCTCCTACCAGGAGCCCTCAGATCAAAAACTCTCCCTGTCTACATCCACTACTGGTGTCAGTCTTCCGCCCAGACACTGTGGCCAGGAGTCCCAGAATTCCCTGAGCTGTGATTATTCTTTGATTTTCAAGCCTCCGTGGTGGCTCAGTCTTGAAGCCTGCTGGTTGTAGGCAGCTCATGGGAAGTTCCTGTAACCTCAGCTCTCGGCCTGGGGAGGCTCAGTGCTTTGTTTCTACAATGGTCCTCAGGCAATGCTGGGGCCCACAGTCCACTGCCTTTGTTTCCCAAGCACCTTTAAATTCTCAGCTCACCTGGGTTAAAGCCTCTCCCTCTCCACAAACCTCCTGGCTGCTCATACACTGTGACCAGGTGTCTCAGGATGCCCTGAGCTTCCATTGCTTTTTGTTTTCAAGACCCTCCGAGTACCTCAGTCTTGAATAGGAGGCCTTCTCTCAAGATACCACCTCACCACAGCTCACACAGTATAGGAAGCAAAAGGTTGTCTTGTGCGATGCTGCTCTGTTATGCTGGGGAAGTCACTGTCCCCTCAGTTTAAGGTTTGCAATTGTAGAGAAGTGTGTTAAAATATTTAAGTGTGATTATGAATTCCTCTCTACCTTTTTTTTGTTTTATATCTTTTAGCCCATATTACCAAGTACATACAAACAAAATTGTCCTGTCTTCCTCATGACATCATTGAGTTGCGCTTTTTTCATCATTATGAAGTTGACTTTTCTTTTTTTTTTAATCTCTAGTAAGTTTTTATTTGCTTTATGCTCTGTTTTATCTGAGAGTATAGCTATACCATCTTTTTTTGGTTAAGGTGTGATGTTTATCTTTTTCCATCCTTTTAGTTTCATCTTTTATTTATCTATGTGCTTTTGTATATAGCTCTTATAAACAGCATATATTGGGTTTTGTTTTTATAGCCTGACTCTTTGTTTTTTAACTGGACCATTTAGTCTATTTTCATTTAATATCATTACTTACACATTTGGGTTTAGGTCTGTTTTCTTATTTTATACTCTAAACATGTTGTCTTACCAGTTCTCCATTTCACTTTTACTTTTTTGATAGATACTCCAGAAACTAACTTCACCAAAGTTGAAATATCCTTACTGTTCTTTAGACAGGGCAGGGACCTTAGGCCGCTTGAGGTCCATGTGTCCTCCTCCTGCCTAGTAAACAGACTAGATGCAAATGCTAGTGTGTTAGCTCTGATTAGAGTCATTTAGGGACTTACAGAGGAGAGAAGGGGAAAGAGCAAACGATGTACTTGAGAAAACTATGTATTTGTCAGAACTCTTTGATTGCAAGTGACCACCTTAGACTATATGAACTTTAAAAAGAAAATATGTTGACTTGAAAAAAATCTCTCTGAGTCTCTATCTGCCTCTGTCAGTCTCTCAACCTTGCTTGCCCTAATTTGACTATGTTCTTTACATGACCTTCCCTGAATTGCTCCCATTCCTGACAAGGGGGATGGACATTCCGCTGTC